AACCTACGAACATGCATAGATTCTACGTAGGTTGCGTACGATATTCCTATGAATATAACAACATAGATTATAACTTGATGTTCTAGATTTAGAGGGGACAACTACTCACCTCTAAACGATGGGGTTGATGAAACGGAAACGAAATGAACGAACGGTTGACAACGTTGAACGACGAATGGTTTCTCGTGGACTCCTCCTTCTCTTCTTCCTCCTCGTCTACTCGCCGGAATCACCTCTTGAGCTATTGTGGTTGGTCGAAAATGCAATGGGAGAGGAAGAGAGTGGAGTGTGTGAGTGGGAGTTACAATTGTGGTGGAGAAAATGAAGAGGAAGGGGCTATTATATTGAATATGTATTGATGAGAACTAATGGCCAATTGAATAGGAAATAATGGTTTGTGCATGTGGGGAAAATGAAGGGTGTGGGTGTGGTGTGGGTTTTTGAAGGAAATTAAATGGGGAGTTAACTCCCTAATTTCTATTCCGTTGTGTAAAATCTGACCCGTACGGTACGCGGTTTTCCCCCGAACGGGTCCGAATTGAGATCCGTTTGTGTTTCCGGAATCAGATAGTCAAAATGAATTTAGTGACGTGTTCAAATAATTTTTCTAAGAACTTTATTTTCAAACTTCTGGGTCCACCCCAATCATTAATTAATTCATTTAATTAATGTTGAGAGGTCCGTTATTAAAACATCTTTTTATATTAAAATACATTAGCTTTGAAAAGCCATTTAAAGAGATCGGAAATCTTAATATTGATTATTAAAAATAATGAGTCTCAATAAATAAATAATATTTATTTATTTAAAACTAGGCCGGTTTGTAGGGCGTTACACAACACATAAGGTCTCATAATAATCCGTGACCCGAATCATAATAAACCAAAAGATAGAAGGCCATTCAGTTCTGGTACGGTACCTTGGTACTGCCTAACCGTACCTCGGTACCGTCCAGAGTAAATTGGAGCCCGGAATGAGTCCTGTAACGGTAGTTAACTATCGTTGGTTGGTAATTTCCTACCGTCGGAACGTAACACAAAGCTTCAAGTCTAATTTCGATAATTTCAACGAAGTATAACATTTATGGATATACTACCTCACAATTAACAACAATTTGAGTAAGGAATCATATCTGGTCTCTTCCTCATCAATTAGTCAAGAAAATCATATTTGTAATAAAACACAATTAAACATTCACAAACAAAATCCACGTAATACGAATCCACAACTGGCTACATTTATATATTAAGGTTATCTATGATTTCTACGTTAGAACAAACCCAGAAACCCACCTCAATTATTTGTCAATTTAAATGAACCAAATCTGCAAATCAAAAGCCGAAGAAGACGGTGAGCACAACAATTGAGCAGCAGCATCACACCGGTGGCGATCAATTTTATAGCGACCCGATCGGCGGCTGACCTTTCCTCGTTCGACAATTCTAGTGGAGTCTATTATTTCCTTCTTTCTCAAAGAACACTACTCCGTAAAATAATATCAACCATGCTAAGGGTACACCAAAAGTTACCCTGAGTTGTACCCCAAAGAAATGACCGACATTTTAACGATTCACACGGATAGAAAATATTATTTCAATTAAAAAAATTTACACTGACATTTTTTCCAACGGGTTATGACTTTCATTTATTTTTTGAAATTTTAAGTAATTTTTATGACCGATTGACAATATTACGAATACAAAAATTAAATATGCAGAAAATTTTGAAAAAAAGTAAGATAGTTATGCGACATCATTAAAATTTTGTATGAAAATATAAATTTGTACATTAAAAACGAGTAGCAAGCAAAGAAATATAATTAAAATCTTATTTTTATAGCATTATATTACATATTAAAGCATATAATTTTGAAAACTTCTTATATTAGCGGGTTGGTCAGGTCGGGTTCAGGTTCGGTCGAGTTTGACCCATTTTTAACGGGTAATTTCGAGTTCGGTCAACTTCGGGTTCGGTTAGCAAAACCCTTGTTCAAAACCCAGTATTTTCGAGTCGGGTCTCGGGTCAAAAACAGGTCGGATCATTTTTTGGCGGGACTAAATCCTCTTCATGCATTAATTGATAGTATTGACCCACTTTTCTTTAGTAATTCAAACTTTAAGGAAATTGTGGAGATGAATTCAGGTATGTTTTCTTGGCTTGAAAAAGGTATACAACCTGCTGACAGGAAGGAGTGTCTAATGCAATATCGATATTATACTATGGAGCCTTCATATCTATTCAATGATGCCACATACAATATGATGAAGGTATATCATCCTCGTAAGTGATTTAATTGTTTATAATTTTTGTAGGTACATCGAGATTATATCAGGAAGCATTCATCTCATGGTGTGTTTAAATGCTTGTATTACTATTTTTTAAAAACTTGAATAAAGTTACATATGTTAACTTCAAAACTGTTGCCTTGAAATTTACATTGAAAAATAGTAAACATTAATTGATGCATCACAATTGGTATGTCTCTTAATAATGTGCATTTACATTATTGTTATTTTTAATCATTTCTTCATTCTATATGTTCATTACAAGGTATATGGTGGGAATTTAGTGGTGACTCTCAACCAGCGTAATTGGAGTGCCTTTGAAGCTGCTCAAACAAAGGAAATGAATCGACTCACTCCACACATGCTTGGTCTTCTTGTGTACTCTAGCCTGTAGCATGAACACACTCATGATGCAAAATATTGAGGAAAATATGATTAAAGATTCTGATCCAATTGATTTGAGCAAGTTGACATAATGGCCTGATTATGGAGAGGTAGAGTCATACTCGATTCTAAATGGGAATGAAAATAATGAAGCTTACGCGAATTCAATTGATGATCATAACATTGACAATGGTATGGATGATGTTGGACTTTCAGATTTTTGTGAGACTTATATCAATGATCATGACAATGTTTTTGTTGAATTTGGTATTTTTAGAATAATTTTGTAGCTAGTGTATAGTAAGACTTTATGGTATGGATGATGCTGGACTATTTTTCACTTCGAACATTTGCTCGATTAAGACTTTATTTTTATTAACATGAAAATTGCATGAACGTGCTTCACTTTTTGGTTTTAATTCGATTAAAAGCAAGATTGTTGTTTTTTATTCACTTTATTATTTTTTTTTTGTGAATAAATATGTGTATATTATAAGACGTATTTTATATTTAGGAAATGTTTAATACACGTACGTATGCATATATACAATTTGTACGTTTGAAACATATAGTAAGATATATTTTATAAATTTTTAATGTATCATACACGTACATATGTATTTCCGTATTATACTTTTGTCGTGGTCTATAAATAAGTTCTCTTCCTATAGAACAAGTCAGCTATTTTTCAATTCGTATCATAAGTATAGTATTTTTTTTTGCTTTTTTTATGAGTAATTTACTAGAATAGGATCTAAACATTCAGCTATTCCCTAAATAGGAGTGGTCCTATGTGACCCAACGTTCCCTTAGGCGAAATGACCACAATAGCCTCCACAATAAACTCTCGTAATTAAAAAAAATTGCCAAAAGAATCGCTAAAGAAAAGGCGATAATATCGGGTTGGGGGAAGCAGCGCAGGGTGGTTTCCCTAAGAGGGAAAAAATTTTGAGCATAATTCCCAAATGGGAAAGGTTAATTCCTGAGAAGGAAAATCGGCTTTTGACATTCCGTTTTTTTATTTTTTTTAATGGTTTTCGGCTTTCATAAAGCCAATTTTTTTTATGTTTAATTTAAAAATTTTTGGCTTTCCAAAAGCCAATTTTGCTGCTACAGTACAAAAGCACAGGATTGCACAGTGCATCCGTAGTGCATGCGCAGGACCCCTCCCCTCTTTCACCATTTCACACTCCACCTCTTACTATTCTCACATCTAATCCCTTCAACTACTACTCCTTTCAATTCCACTACAAATAATCAAATCTTCTCTTTCTTTTTACACAAAATTCGTAATCTTTTCAACTACATCTCACATTTTTTCTCTTCTTTTCTCACTAAATATTCAAAATTTATCTATTCTTCCATAATCATTCAAGAAGTTGAGGTATGTTTACTTAGAATAATTCTTTTTAAGTTTTTTAAATATGTAATACATTTTTTTATTTTACAATATGTAATGCATTTTTTTAAATTTTACAATATGTAATGCATTTTTTTAAAATTTTACAATGTGTAATGCATATTTTTTAATTTTACAATATGTAATGCATTTTTTTTAAATTTTACAATGTGTAATGCATATTTTTTAATTTTACAATATGTAATGCATATTTTTTTAACAATTTTATTGTACTATGAGTAGATAGAAGCTCATTAGAATATTTTTTTGAAGCATAAAGTATGATCCTGAGAGAGAAATAGTGGGTCCTAGATCGAGGGACATTCTTACTTTACAATTTACACATCGTTCGCGTGAGGTGTGGCATAACCCGGATTTTATAGACAACAAAGTCTCTCCGGTTCGCTACGAAGGTAGTCTTCCAACGGTTTTTTTTATGATAGAGTTTATGAAATGTTGCACCGGTCAGGGTTTTATGGAGTGCACCGTGTGCAACCCATCCGATTAGACCATGGTCTAATCACTTCTCTTGTTGAGCGTTGGAGACCGGAGTTACACGCATTTTAGTTTCCTTTCGGTGAGATGGGTATCACCTTACAGGACGTGGAATGCTTACTAGGACTTCCAATTGATGGACTCCCCGTCATGGGCTTTGATTTAAATATTGAGGAACGGAATGTCTTATTTAGAGATGTTTTGATGTGGACCACCGATGACACCCATTTTGGTCGTTTTGACCAATTCAAGATTGCCCTTATTTTTGAGGGACAAACCATTCAACCAAATAATGAATGGCCTGATCAGATGGTGGCTCAATAAACCGCTAGGCTCATATATGCTTATATGGGTGGTTTATTATTTCCAGATTCTTCGGGTATGTACGCACCAATTGATTTCGTGAGATACTTACGAAATATATTTACTAGAAGTATACATCGACAGTGATCGTGGGGGTGGAGATGAGGCCGGTCCATTGAGACGTGTTGATCGTGTTCGTTCACGGGGGGAGATGATTGCAGATGAAGTTATTGACAACCCTGACTCTGATGATGATGAGGAGTACATTCCTTCGGACGACGACATTGACACAGAAGAACATTGGATCCATGAAATGGAAGCTGAAGCTGGTGAAAGGAGAATTTCTTACAAGTCTAATGGCCCTCTTGCAGTAGGTATGACCTTTCCCAATTATGAATCACTTAAAGATGCGGTTACAAAACAATGTGTGGCGAACAATCATTTTTATCGAAACGAATACAAAAAAGCGGGATCATGGGCATGTCGGTGTTGGTATTACAACAAAAGTCCACCCTGTTTTTGGTGTGTTCAAGCACAAGGATTAAAATATGGAGTCTGGAAAACAAAACAATTGCGAGACGTGCACACTTGTAACCCGGATTATTCTCACGGTGGCGATGATTTAAACATCGATTATTTCTCTATTGCCCGGTTCATTGTCGGAAAAGTACGTGTGGATCCGGAGTACAAAGTGAAGTTAATCCAACATGATGTTTTAGAGGAATTTCATGTTCCTGTATCGTATAAAAAATGTTGGTTAGCTCGGATCCGTGCTACAGAGTTGTTGTACGGTAGTTGGGAGAATTCGTATTCTCAACTTCCTATTATGTTGTACAATTTACAAAATTCTTATCCAGGAACTGTAGTCGATGTTGTCTATGCAACTGAACCGCCAAACCTTAATGCCACGCCTGAAGAGACCCCGCGCTTTAAGTATGCATTTTGGGCTTTCGCCGCGGCAATACATGGATTACAATACTGCATGCATGTAGTGACAGTGGACGGAACTCATTTGTACGGAAAGTATAAGGGTCATCTCCTTCTTGCGGTTGCCATGAATGGTAATCGTGAAATCTTTCCACTGGCTTATGCGATTGTTGACGGAGAAACATGTGAGAGTTGGGCTTGGTTTTTTCGCCTTCGTGTTCAGAGGGTTATCGGCTCACAACAAGTCTGTATTATTTCTGACAAACATATCAGAATCATTAACTCCTATTGTGACCTTCCAGAACTACAGACTGGATTGATAATGAAACGTTTTTGTCTTCGCCACATTCGGAGCAACTTCATGACAAAGTTCCAGAACAGTGATCTTAAAAATTTGGTTTGGGCCGCTGGTAGTACACATAATATCCAACAATTTGAAGGATATATGGCTGAAATACGAAACATGAGTGAGGAGGGATATAAGTATTTAAATGATATTCCCCGGGCGGCATGGACCCTTTGTTATGATGGTGGATTTAGGTGTGGTATCTTAACGATAAATAGTTCTGAGAGTTTCAACAATGTGCTGAAAGGTTGCCGAATGTTGTCTGTCACTACCATTTTATCCATGTCCTATGCCAAGATGGTTGAATTGTTTGCTAAAAGGTACAAGCTTGGTATTCAGTGGCAAGAACAGAGCATGCACATTACTCCGAAAATTAAAAATGTTCTCCTTAATCGGGAGAAAACTAAGCACAAGTGGACCGTCTCAAGCTACGGTAACAACCAATACGTAGTGACTCACACATCTCGAACAGATCCTTCTTCTGTTTACAGCTACTTGGTCAATTTGTTTAGTAGTGTATGCACTTGTAGGCAGTGGACTTCCGATAGTATACCGTGTGTTCATGTTCATGTTGTTTACCACTCTTTTCGACAACAAGTTCCTTACAACATATTACCGGCTAGGTACTCGGTTCAAAACTATTTGAGTTGTTATGGTGGTATAATTCAACCTGTTTTTTTCCCTCAAAATTTGGATGTTGGAAGCTTTAAAGTTCTACCTCCCAAACGGCCAACAGATGAGATTCCACGTTTAGGGAGACGTCAACGCAATCGATACCAGGGCGAGATGGATTTCAGGGCAAGGAGATGAATTTAGTTTATAATTTTTTAGTTTGTATCAGGGAAGGTATTGTAATTCTTGTTTATTTCAGATGTTGAGAATGTAATTTGCTGTTGATGTTTTAATATATTTATGTTTTCAATATTGTCTACTATTCGTTTAAAAAACAAGTTTCTCTTTATTAAATTTCTATTGATTGATTTTTTTAACAAATTAAATATTGAATCATAATAAATATTTATTTTTATTAAAAAAAAGGTTTATGAAATCTGTCATCTCCGCAATTTTGTGGAATGAAAATTTCGGCTTTGTGAAAGCCATTTTTTAAAAATAAATTTTTTACAAAAAACGGCTTTGTGAAAGCCAATTTTTATTTAAATTTTTTTTTTACAAAAAATGGCTTTGTGAAAGCCGATTTAAAAAAAAAAAGTAAAAAACGACTTTACTAAAGCCTATTTTCCCTTAGGAAATGCATGCTCCAAATCTTCTAATTTATTCAGCAGCGCACTACTTCCCGTGTTGATGCAGAGTTTTTACATGAAGATTTCAAGGTCATAGTAGATCTTATTTTTCGATTTTACCAATTAGGTCATAAACAATTGAATTTCAAAAGCCGGTGGAACTCCGACGGAAGAAAACGATGATAAAGAAGAGTGCTACAGCGAAAAATGGTGTCCAGCAACGCGCTAGGGAAGACGAGGACTTTGTTGATGAAATGCCACTTATAAAGACTAGAAAGTAAGTGAAGAGCACATCAAAGCGGGTAAGTTTGTGTTTTTTAATACTCAGTGTGATAAATCACAATATGTGGCATATTCTCGATTGATACAATCATGCATGTGTGATGTTTGTGATAATGTCTGTTCAATTGGTATGAATTTTGAATTGTTCCTTAGTTTTTAGTATTCTGTATTTCACAAATGGAGAATGATATTCAGGGCATTATAATTGGGAAAAATTTGGTTTTTGGATTATCTTCAAAACTGGTTATTAACTCTCAATGTTGGTATTTGAATGAATTGAAATAGTTGGTTATTGCTTACCATTTAGCATTTTTTCTTTCACATATGGAGAATGATATTTAGGGAAATTTGAGTGAAAAACTATTGGATTGAATAAATAGAAATTGGTTATTAACTCCCAATATTGGGTATGTGAGAGGCACAAGGACATGGACATTTTTTCAGACTAGAATGGGTAACTGCTTAAATCTTGTTTAAGCATGACCATTGGTGGTTTACCATCCTATATATGATTAACCATAAAGTGACTATAGGTTACTGACCACATTGAGGACTGTGGTGTGAATTAGGAGTTGCACCAAATAAGGGGGTTTGAATAATTTAAGTGTGTGGAAAATTTGGGTAGTTGAGGATATGTATGATTCACCTAGGTGTACCAGGTGCTTCTGTTTTATTGGATTCCTAATTTTAAAAATAAGTGTGACTAAGTGCTAAAAACATTAGGGTCAAATATGGTGGTTAGAATCAGATGTTGTAAAATTCAATATGATGGTCTCTAAAGTAATTGGAGTTGGTTGGCAGTATGAGATTTATGTTGAAGTTATTGGTCTGGTTTCATGAGCTTATTTCAAAATATAACTAAGATGAATATTGTTTAAGGCATGGAATGTGTGTGTGGTTAAAGAATAGTTAATGGGGACTGTAATTGCACTATAATTTTCTGAGTTTTGTAAGGGTTTTCTGTCGGTTAAGTGTGGACTTTAATTGTGTTTTAAGGAGCATGATTGTGAAGATTGTGTCAAAAACGCCTTACGATAGATGTGTAAATGGGTTTGATAAGCTTTGTACATAATTGCCTATGATTGTGTTTGTATTAGAATATAGAGCTCATTTTATATGCTGTAATAACCTGATTTCAGACACTGTGTATATGATTATATTAATGGACTTTAACTGCAATTTGAGGACTCAAAATATGGTTTTAAGAAGTTGAGCTTTGGCGACATGACAGGTTTACATGAGACTGTGTAATGAAGAGGCATTGCTTGAAAAAACAGGTCTGAAGATCACATGCTTTTATAATGTATGGCTGGGCGTTAAAAGTGTTAAGGACCTCATTTCATACATTGTGTATTTGGAGACAATATGAGTTTATTATTCAAGTGAGACTTGTTAATTCAGTACCCAAAGAGTACTAATATCATTTATGGATAAGATTTTTAGTACTCCATCTTTATCAAAAACTCTTTCTCTTTTCTTTTTTTCTTGTCCCACAAAGTCCTTTCTATCGTATTAAAAAAAACCACATTTATTAGTAATCTATCTATCACATCTTACTTTTACTCATCACATCAAATGTATTTTTAGAAACTCAGCACAAAATATCTTCCCCTTAAATTTCTTTAAAATTAAAATGGGAACATCTTTATGAGATGCATGAAATATTTTATATAGAATTTTTATGTCTTATTTGGATGCAATTTTTTTAATTCCAGAGATTTGATGTTTTTATTTGAATGATGTTGTGTGATGGCCAAAATAATAAGTTTTATTTTTAATATTGGCCATTCAATAATATTATGGTCAAGTGCGGTGATCAAATTAAATAATCATCATACTATGTGAATGATCGTAATACATATGGGAATTTGAAGGCTTTTATTATGTGGTCAAGGTTACACATTAGTGCATTAAGTGTATGATATACTTTAAATTCCAACGAGTAGCTTAGGGCAAAAGTACAAAATACAACTACGAATAAAAGAAGATTAGCATATAAAGAAGAAGAATTTACCTAAATAGCATTAAAACATAATAACTTTCTCTAAATAGCATCATATGAGTTTTTTTCTCAATGTAGCAATTTTACTCATTATCCATTAGTCATTATTAAAGTAAATGTTTGTCATCACTAGTCAATATTTGTCATTCTAGACATTATTAAGTGTTATTTAGAAAATAAAACAATTTAAGTGTTATTTAGAGATATGACTTATGTTTTAGTGCTATTTAGCAAATATTTCTATAAAGAAACATACATATAATCAGAAGGTAGAATATCGGTATAATTTGTGGCAGGCAAAAAATATACATAGACCATTAAAATAAGAGTACAGAACATGTGTAAAATAAGAAACATTGATATATTTGGGGATGGGGGAAAACAAGTCCTTAGAGTAAGAGTATGAAATAAAGCTGAGAATAAAAAATAAATGACTTGCTTGCACATAAATTCATAAAGGCCTTCTCCTTGGCGAACCACGTCTTCTTATAATTCATCATAATGCCATGCTCCCTTCGCACGTCAATAACAATGGAATTCAGGGCGCAAGGCTTTGTTGTTGCATCATAAAAATTGTGTTTAACAAGTTCTGCAAGAATGTTATACGTAGCTTACTAGCTTGCCTTGTTGTGCCTTGACGTGCATCAATAGGGCATTATTATTCACGAGTATACCTAATAAAGGATCACGAGAAATGTGAAAGTAAACATAAAAAGTTACAAAAATGATATAAATGGTAAAAGAGACACTTTTCACTTGTTATAATGGATAATGCTAAGAGCATCTCCAACCATATCATTTTAACTAGCTAAAAGTTATAATATAACTAGTTAAATACTTTTGTTCTTCTCCAAAGGGCATGCTTTATTTTAACAAGTTTGCCAAAAAATAATTTTGGTTTGCTAAATATGACAAGTTCCTCAAAATTTAGCTAGCCAATACTTAAAAATTAAAATGACAAATTATGGTTGGAGAATAAAGCAAAAAAGTGCTTGCTATATCACTATTCACTTGCTATAATGTAAAAATAGTAAATTAAAATAACAAGCATGGTTGGAGATGCTCTAAGAAACAAGATAAGGACAATTAGAAAAGTCAATAAGGCATTATGCACTTATTATTTTTGGTAAAAAATTGAGGACATTATAAGCACTATGACGAAAACCGATTAAAGACCAATGTGAAGTGTAATCTCCTAAATAATATACGCCTCTAAAGGCTCGCTCTTTTGCAGTTTATTTTATACCCCGGAGTAACATTTATACTGTTCACTGTTTCTTTCTCCGTCGTCTCTGACTACTCCCCACGAACGATGTCTCATTTCTCTCTTTCACTCTGGGGTTTCTTTTCTCTCTTTCACTCTGGTCTTTCCATACGGCTTTCATCTCCATTCACCAGGTATTTTACTCTTTCTTCATACTACATCTTAATATCCTCACACCTCAAACTGTTCAAAAACAAAGGTATGAAATTGAATTAGCAAAAGTAGGAAATTTGAAAATGGAATAATTGATGAATCCACACACGACACTGATATGAAGGAAAGTATGCATGTGAACCGGAGACTTGAAGGAGGACGAAGAGATTCCATTTCCTGCGCATTTTCCATTTCTCTGTTTTTTAAAAAGAAAAAAAAGAAAAATTGAAGACAAAGATTTTTATTTTCTTCTTCTCCATTGGAGCTTCCAATTTCTGCAAATTTGAATCTTTTTCTTTTCCACATGATTTTGGGTAATGTAATTCCTGAAGCTCCAGCATCAATTTTGTTCAATTTAGATTTGGAAAAACCTGGGCATTCTTGAATTTATTCTCATCTGAAATTTTGGTTGCAGAAAACATATAAAACAGTGTAATGATTTATGAGATTGAGATTGCATATGTTCTTTGGTTATGTGATTGCATATATAATATATGGTTGGTAATTGGTATGTTAGCTCAAATGAGAATGGTTTTTTTCTGCATTTGTTGTTAGTGGATCATTGTGTTCTGGGGCTCATAATTTTTTCATAATTTTCTGCACATCATCTGCTCACCTGGGTGTTCTACTCTATACTTTTGATGAAAGACCAATGTATGTGTGCAAGGGCATTTAAGCACTTATTAAATAAGTAGGTGGACGAGGATGTTATAAAACAATACATGAACATTGATTAAAAGATCACCATGGATTGTATTAAATGTTAGGAAGAAAATATGTCTAAGGTCATTTAAGGGTACATTATATAGTTTTGTACAAAAAAGGTACGTTATATAGTGATTAGTAGGAAGACATTATAAAGGACTACAAGAAGATTGATTAAATGACCATTTTTGGACTCTATTAGACATTATGCACAATATATGTCTTTGGTCATTAAAGGATACTTTAGACATGAAAAGGGACAAGGACATTGTAAATCGCTAAAAAAAAAGATTGATTAAAAGACCATCTTGGACTATTTTAGACATAATGCACAGTAGTATGTTGGACATTATCGATAAATTAGGACATTAATGACTGATGGTGTAAATATAGCGGGGTGGGTTAACCGGGTTTGACCTGGACACACTCGACCCGTAATATAAAACACACAACAAGAACACAAAGTATGACCTAGACCGGGTAAATCTCCTCAGTCCGAATTATATTTCTTACTCTATCTCAAGAGTGAACTTTAGTGAGAGAAAAATTGGATCCCCTCCTCTATCAAATATCATCATATTTATAGAGGAGGATTTGTGACCTTCCNCTGTTTTTTGCAAATAAATGAAAGGTGGGATTATTTTAGAAAAATTTACTTTTTACTTTTTTAGTTTTGAATTTAAAATTAATATTTTTAAAAATATAACAATACACTCTTGTTAGAGATTTGTCTAACGATTAACAAATTTTGTTAATTGTTTTGGGAAAATATAGTATTGAATTATCAAAAATAATTCAGAGTATCGATCAAGAAAGAAATTACAATAAAAAAAATTGAAGTGATTTATAAAATTTATGGGTTCCGTTTCGGAGAAAAAAATATTGTGTCATTTTCACAACTTTTGAATTACTATTTTGGGGAAAAATTTGTATTGAGTTATTAAAAAAATCACAAATTGGGTAGTTCCATTTTAGAAAGAAAATTTTATTGCAATATAAGATTATCAATAAATATTTCAGAGTGTTCATGAAAAAATTGCAATACATCAGAAAATGTAGTGAGTTATAAAAATAAAAGTTCTATTTTTGAGAAAAAAATTGTTGTGTTATTTTCACAACTATTGTAATGTTGTTTCACAAAAAATATTTATATAGAACTATCGAAAAATATTCATAAGTTTTGTAGTGCCATTTTTTTAAGAAATAATAATAATGTAGTATCAAAAAGTAATTTGAAGTGCAGCTCAAGAAAAACAGAGTAAATGCAACTTACAAAAAAATGTACTTCATCCGTTATCAAAAACACTTCCTCTTTCATTTTTTCCCCTTCCAACAAAACACTTCCACTTTCTAATAAAAAACCACTTTTACCCTTACTTTTTCATACCCTACCTATCACATCATATTTTATCTCTAATAATCTATTCATCACATCTTACTTTTACCTATCACATCAAGGGCAAAATTGGAAGTCAACTACTCCCTCCGTTCCAAAAAGTCTTTCCTGTTTCATTTTTTGCGCATCCCATAAAACACTTATATCCCGCCTTGAATGCCAAAAAAACTTTCAAAATAACTTCTACCCACAATAAACAAGAAATGTTGTAAATTTTGGGCATTTTAAATGTCGGTAGAAATGTTTTATGGGATGCGCAAAAAATGAAACAGGAACGACTTTTTGGGACGGAGGGAATACAATTTAATACTTCCTTATTTTTACACAATGTCAAAAGAGGAACACTTTTTCCGAACGGAATAGTTAGTTATGAAGTTAATAAATTAGCTCTATTGTGTAGAATAATTTATTTTTTAATTATTACCATATTATTGGTTATTGAAAAAAAACAATTAGTTTCACTCTAAAAACACTTAAATTTGGTATTTTTTCCAAAAAAATAAAATAAAATTAAATTTAAAGAAATTAAAAAACGAAAAAGGGAGAATTTACCTAAAATAATCTCACCTTTCATTTATTTGCGAAAAACGGGCATTTTTCAAAATTTCCGTTAAGTGACCGTTAGTTTTTTAACGGCGACCCAAAACTCGCACACATGCGGGAAGGTGAGATTATTTCTGGTGAGAGTGAAAAGTAGGATTATTTTTGAAAGAGCACTAAAAGGTGGGATTATTTGAGATAATTTTTCCAAATTTTTAAGAGGAATTTACCTAAATAGGACTAAATATAATGACTTTAGGATCATATATTTTTATTTCCCAATATAGGAGAACTGGTCATTATCTATTAGTCATTATTCAAGTAAATGTTATTTTTCCCACTAAACATTATTAATTAATATTTAGGGAACTGTATTACGATTTACCTCCAATAAAGTACTAATGACTGAAGTGGCATCTACATTCCATTCACCGTCAAATGACAACAAATGATGGATGGTGACGGGTCTGGGCGCATGAATGAAATCTTACTATTTACAATGCTTGGATCCACTTTTGAACAGTGTTCCCGCCAAAATAGTTGGGCTGGGTATACCATTACGGGCCAGGCATGATAAATGGGCTGAGATTGACAGTTGTATATGAGTTATTGCTGAAGCCTATTTTAGGTAGGGTTGTAGTCCACTTTTGTAAAAGAAAAAATTGCATTAATTGCATAGATTTAAAAAATATTTGGGAACCCGTGCAAGCGTGCAGTGATAGTTGATCCCCTATGGACATCTCCGTCAGCTTCTCATTCTTCTCTCCAGCAGCTTCCAGATTCATAGCAGACGAAGAACTGGACCTAGCAGCTTGGTCCAAGGACAATGAGGCAAATTCCCACTCAGGTATAAATTTCGTATCTACACTTACAATCCTCCGCCTCCTTCATGAAAAAGAATCAGAACAAGCTAAGGCACAGTTAAAAGAATCGTGCATATCCATCTCTGATAAAAAAAATTGCAGGGGAGGGCTGCGTGAAACAGCCTCGAGCTAGGGTTATAACCCCAACTATGGATTGTGACGAGAAAGACGGTTGGCCTAGCAAGACCACCGGCTGCAGGTCTTTTACTTCTCATCTTCTTTTTCTTCTTCTTCTTATCTTTGATTTTACATATTTACTCAAGTATATGTCTGATTTTGTAGTTGAAGAAAAAGAATTGGTTTGGATGAGCAATGTTCACCATGTGTTCGACGAAATGACTCAAAAAGATGTAGAGGCCAGGTAACATTTCATTTCTTACTACTTGGTTTAGTACTGGTCGTATTGTGTTATTTCAGACTTGAGATGCCATTTGAAGAGATTGGGTATCTCAAAGCTTAGACAAGCTCTCACAAGTTTAGGGAGAACCAAACAACAATTGAAGGTATTATGCTTTTAAGATAGCAATCACTCAACCAAGATTCATTGATTTGTGTTGGGATCCTATTTTTAAGCTTGAAATATGATGTTAGTAATTAGTGGCTGGATTGGTTTTCTTTGAGTTTGATTTTTTTGGAGTGTTATAGTATACTTGAATGTCAATAGAGAGTTTTCTTTTAGTTGCTTGGAGCATTTTCTTTCTAATAGGAGCTTAAACCTTTTGCCACTGGAGAATACTTCACCTATTGTTTCTCCATATGGATTTTTAGCACATAATATCAAAATGAAGGAGGCATACAAAATGTTTGACATAATGCCCCATGAACTTCTCCCAAGGTACTGCTTTTTTTTTCTTTCAAGACATTTTGATTCACTAAGATGTACAAAATTAATATGTGAATTTAAAAAAAAAAACTTCGTAGGTATTATTGCTTCTCCATCACTTTAGTGAAAATAAAGTTAATGACGAAATGGAGTTTTTAAAATAGTTAAAACTATGATCTCTTTAATCATTTCTAGCATGATGGCTTTAAATTTTAAGACTTTAATTTGTCAAAATAACAGATTTTGTGTGAAGGAATGGACTAATAGACTTATCTGCAAGCATTTTTTTGAATAAAAATGCAACAATACTCATACGTTGTTTAGTTATTTAAACTTGAGCTCTCATCATGAAAACATAAAAAGTAGTTAAGAAAAAATTATGTTTATTCACAATTCTGAAGGGCCGAAATGGGCTTATGGGCATGTTTAAAATTGACAGGTTAAATGAGATTTGACATTAATGTATAAACATTTCATGTTAATTACCTTTCAATGGTTGGTATAGCTTGATGATTTTATTACTTGGGTGTTTGTTTTCTGGCCAAAGCAAAGAAACTATCGGGGCCTAATGGGTGTTTGTTTTCTTATTTTGCGGGAAAGAAAAGAAAAAAAGTGATAAGCTTAGCAAAAGAGGGCATTTGTAACAGTTATTGCTGCGTAGTAGTTTTCATTCATCTCTGTAAAAGAGGGTATTAATTGACACAATTCCTTGGTAGTTGTGAATTGTGATTGAAAAATGGATTTATCTTCAATCTTAAAAGATAAGTGAGTCTGATACATCCAAAAATAGTACTTTTTTTCAAACCAACACAAAAGTGTTGGATCCTTAGTTAAAAAATCAAACCTTATTAGACAATGAGAAAAAAGAATCTTACCCTAAATAGCTTTAAATAAGATACTAACCAAATTCAGAAAAAAAAAACAAACTCACAATTCAATCCTAACATATCCTCAAGTGAGATGATATTCTTTCACTTATCGTGTGTATGCAAGTACACTCTCCAACCACTTATTTATTCACCTAAAATAACCTTTCTCTTCTCTTTAACAACACATCAAAAGTGATAGTACTTAGCGTCTCATTATTATTCTGGAAAAATGCCGCATATAACTTGATTGTAGAAGAAATCAGAAGAAACTCAAACGCAAATCAAAACAGTGTGTTGGACGCTCCACCTGGCTTTAGATTCAGAGTTATGCATCATAATTGTGGTTTGTTTTTGCCTATTTATTTATCTACCTGATGTGTCAGTGATTTGCTTCAAAGGGAGGCAGTATATCTTTGCCTTAATTCAACATAGAATTGTGAGTGATAACATGAAAAATTTAAAATTAATATCCCTAAACCAAATCAAAGGAACGGGGAACATGGGTCTTTTGCGTGAACAAATAAATCTTTACTTCAATTTAACATGGAATTGTGAGTGAAGACATGAAAAAAATTATATAATCAACATCCCTAAACCAAATCAAAGGGAAGGTGAAATTACCTGGGCAATGAGGAACGGGAGCAGAACTGGAGAGGAAGTATTGTAAACCAATTCTACCAGAGATTGATGAAGGAAGGAAAAGGCGATTGAACCAAAGCCTGCATCTCTCCCTGTCAAGCTTGAAATAATTAGGGAAAAATTTTAGGATTTACTTTATGCCATGTTGAAGAAGAAGAAAAATACCTGTAGTTGTAGTCGTTGCAGCTGGTGGTCTGGGCCAACCACGTCAATCGCCTCTAGGCAACGCCATAGGAAAAATTGAGCAAAAACAAACCACCACAATCGCCGCCTGAATCACCACAACTTGTTTCTTCGTTTGTGAGAGAGGCCACGAATGCAAGGAAATTAGAGGCACGTCTTGACTCCGGCAATGTCGTGCACCCCATAGGTAAAATTGATTGAAAGACGAAAATAATCTGCGTTGAGGTCAAAGAGGTGAAGAGGTTTCAGGTGCCTAGTGCAGAGAGAAGCTGAGGAGGTTGAGCATTTGTTCAACGCCATCCAACGCTCTTATCCCTCATGGCATAGTAATCCAAATCATGTGCCATGTCACTTGACACGTGTCTCTGAATTTCTTTTTAAAAGATTACAACATAAAGCATTTAGCATTCATTTGGCTTATAAGAACCAGGAAATTTATAAGGTGAAAATTGTACGAAGTATATAATAAGAACCAAGAAATTTATCAATAATATACATAAATAATGTCAGATGGATTAATTCACATCACTCATCATCAAAGAATACAAAAGAGGAAGATTTAGTATAATATACACCTTTCTTATTAATTAAATTAAATCTTATTATAGGTGACAGAAACAATAGAGAGAAATGGCAATGATAAGTTAGGAGAAAATATGGGGAATTAAATTCAAGCACCTTAAGTTACTTTTGTTTTGCTCCATCATGGATCATCATCATATATTTTGCTTGAATACCTCCTGTGAACAGCCACCATATGGAGTGAAACCAGCAATTGACTTTGAGACCACTTGTGGTTCTTTAACTATTAAAATGGACTTTTTAAATAACACATAAATAATAAAAATTCAAAAACTTCCTAATTACTGTTCACTTTCAACTCCCACATTCAATTTAAAAAATACAAAAACATGGGATAAGTAATTTCAAAAATGGGAAAAAACATTTGAACACACCTGATGTAGAAGAAGACTACTGGATAATGATTGTGGCAATTTGTGGACATATGCTAAAGTTGATGAGTTAATTGCTACCGTCAGTTTATCTCGACATTAACAATGGGAATTTGATGTATTAGAATAGCAATTAACAATTGGAAATTGATGTATTAGAATAGCAATTTGTATCTCATCAAACAATAATTATCAGTTATGTCATATGATTGTTGATCCATTAATCAGATAGCATACCGATCGTTGATGAAGTCTCAGCTCCACGCAATCTGTAACGCAAGACATGGAAGGATTCCAAGCGCGGAAGGTTAGAAGGAGACTCGTCCGATCCCCCACATAGCCGATTGAAAAAATTGGAGAGAGGATCGGCGAATAGCCGATCGAATAGTCAATCGAAAAAATTGAGGGAGGAAGGCGACTCGTCTGATCTGATCCCTAAATTGCCTATACATTTGACATGGCATGTCCAGTCATTTAAAAATATCTATATCATCAGTCTAGTCATAAGACACGTGTCAACTCCACAATCAATTAACCCTACTTTATATATATATATATATATATATATATATATATATATATATATATATATATATATATATATATATATGATGATTGTTGTTGGGTTATAATCATTGGTTATTATAAATCGGATTATTCAATTTACTCTTTATTACTCTATTAATATAGGTTAAGCTTTGATTTCGTAATTTAGATTATATAACTTTTGCATCAGATAGTAACTATTGGATCACCTTTGTATATGAAAATCTTAATTAATTTTTTTTTATCTTATTGCATCCCAACTTAAATTTTAATTATTACTCCCTCTGTCCCAAATTATAATGCATGTTCACTATTCACAGAGTCAAATTTCATTCACTTTCTTTCTCTATTTTCGTTAGCAAATTGATAAAATAAAATATTGTTGTCACTACTAGTTTTGTAGACCTTTTGATGTAGTATTTTGATATATAATTTTTATTTTTTAACACAATACCATTTGTCATATAAAATGATTTGAAAATAACTTCAGTCAAACATCGTAAACCGAAATAGGCGTTATAAAATGGGACGGAGGGAGTAATATTTAATAGGTTGAAATAGGAAGCTTTGGAATAGTGACGTGTTGTTTGAGGGTAAATGTGGATACACGTATGAAATTCACTCCTAAATCTAGAAATAAACAATAATAGTCTTCTTTAGGAAAAACGCATATCTTTTAGTCCTAATTAGAACAAATTTTACTTTTTTTATTACACACACCAATATATTTCATACTCTAAATAAGAATTGTGCAACACACGAATGTGATAGAGAAAAGAGAATAAAAGGAAACAAAATTTGTTTCCGTGCGATACAGAGAGTATGACTACGGGTCTGTTTGGGAATAGCGTTAGAGATTAGCGTTAGCGTTTTGGATAAAATTTTAACGGTGTAGATTACTTTAAAAACGTTAACGCTAAACGCTGCCCGTAGATAACTTTTTCAAAACGCTAACGCTAATCGCTAAAGCTATTCTCAAACAGACCCTCCGCGCTAGCAGTTCACCTATCTGGCATGCATATGCAGCCGCCACGTTATTTTAGTGCGCCGCAACGATAATTGTCTGAAGTTTAAACGAAAAAGAAAAAAAAGAAAAAAAGAAAAAAAAAGAAAAGAGAAGTTAACGAGCCGTTGATCCGATCCCTTTCTCTCTGTTCAAGCAAATTAAAGCGAAGCCACGCTCAAATATATATATATATGCATATATGTATATGTATATATATATATATATATATATGTGTGTGTGTGTGTGTATATATATATATATATATATATATATATATATATATATCCCTTGAATTGCTTCCATATCTATCATCTTTAACTAAATTTAATTAAATACCCAGTAATACTTTAAATTTCATTATTTCCCCCCTTTCCTACTTTATTCTCGTCCTCTTCTTCTTCTCAATTATATTCTTCTTCTTACTCGTTACGTATACTTAACAGTACGCCGGCCGCGCCGGGAGATCGAGCCGAGCGAGGGAGGACTAATACAGGGATCAGTAATTGACTAATTGTGCGGGCCGCGGCGGAGGATATGGCGAGCAACGGCGGGAACCACCGCGATCTGGAGGCCGGAATCCCTCAGCGCAGCCGCAGTGACGGTGGCGCGGGCGGAGATCCGTTTGATATCGAATCCATCAAGCGAGCCCCCGCCGAGGCGTTGAAACGATGGAGGGTCAGTCTCACTTTTTCTTATTCCCATTTTGCAAATCTTATATACTTGTTTAAGGGGAGGGTCAGTTTGGTACACGGAATTGACACAATTGTAATTGAATTGAGAGTTGAAATTAGTTTAGGTGGAAGTAATTGAATTGT